GTGGGGTGCCATTGACTTCTCCGAAGCTTTGACTAATACTGTGTTAAATTAAGACTAACTACTGGGGAGAGAGGGGATTGGCCCCAAGCACTGGGTCTTTTTTATAGGAAGGAGACTTGATTGGAGATTATTTGCTTTAAAAGGACGGAAATCATGTGGGTCTAACTCCTTCTCAAGGACTTGGGCTCTTTGTTTTAAAAAGTGATAATACATCATCCTCTCCATCACTCTGGAAAGTAGTACTGAAACTTAGCTAGGGGGAAAACATCCTATACGAGAAGATCAAGAGGCTGGGCCTGCTCTATAGCAGAGGTGGAATCTGAATGCAGGTTTATTGCTGATGCCTGAGTGGTACCAAGACCTTTACATGAAGAAATGCACGTGGTAGAGGACAATTTTATGCTATCTCTCGAGCAACTTCACCTCTGAGAGGTGACTGTGCTCCTCATTCCTCGTACAAGCATAGACAGTCTTCTCTCCCCTAATTGCTTCCACTGATTTCTCTCTCTCTGTTTTGTTTTGTTTTTTTTTTCATTAAGATGTGCAATACATCAAGAGAAAAAGATGGTCCTGCTTCCTGCCATGCAAGACAGTATGTAAAAGGCCAAGGTTAAAAGCACCATTTGGTTTCTTAAGCTTCTCTAATGTATAGGTGTGAAAAAGCAATCTGGGACCTAGAGTTTATGGCACTGACTCTCTGAGGATGAAAACTTGACTTTGATTTTGACTCTCAGGCTAAGATAAAATCTGCTTCTGCTATCATTATCCCACTTAGGTTTGTCCTCAGTCTCTTTCTACTCTGCCACCCAGCTGAGTAGGAAGAAATTAACCTGACCTTGAAGAATACTCAGAGAATCTTCAGGAACATTGGGTTTTCAGTATCCAGTAAAATACTACAGGCCTACCAACATTTGGATTATAGACTCAAAGACCCCAAGAAGGATCTGACAAATGATATACACCACACAATTAACAAACAAAGAAAACAAAGCCCAAAGAACTTGTCCCAAGTTGTGAATTGGTTGGAAGCAGGGTCAGAATTAGAATAAGCTTCCCCTTCCCATGGCACCATGACTAGGCTCCAACCATGCCCAGATCATCTCCAGATCACTCACGTAGGAACACACTAGACTTTTACACAATGTTTGTATTTTCTTTAGTGAAAGTTAAAAACTCCCAAGGAACAGTCTCAAGAAAAGTCATCTCAAAGGTCATAGAAAGGAGGTATTTTGTCATTCTTAGGCTTATGGGGTTTTTATTCAGATAAATATCATACATGGAAAATAAAACTGTATATTGTTCTTTCTACCCAGGAATGATTAGACCATATCTTTTCCCTCCAAAGATTGCTTCCATATATGTTTCTGATCTGTTCCCACTTAACACACACTACAGTTCTAGTTTTAGATTCTGGTGCAGTCTGTGGCAGGTGGTTTAGGACAAAAATAAAGAGCATGGATTGTTATCTATCTGGAACCTAAGGGTTAAATTCAACTCACAGATGCATTTTGTTTGTCCCACATACCATTTCCAAAATTTCACTTGGATTTGATATTCAAGTCTGCTTTACTTGTTTATGCTGACTGCCTGGCCCCTAAATCTTTGCACTTATAATCCTGTTCAGAACTCTTCCTTCCTGAGAATGAAGTTGTGGGTGAGCAGACCTTAAATCCCATGAAGAGTTTAAAGAGAGGCTTCCAGGGGCCAGCTTCTGATATCCATCTTTGTGGATATCCTCTGATATCTTTGTGATCCCATGGACTATACAGCCCATGGAATTCTCCAGCCCAGAATACTGGAGCGGGTAGCCTTTCCCTTCTCCAGGAGATCTTCCCAACCCAGGGATCAAACCCAGGTTTCCCACATTGCAGGGGGATTCTTTACCAACTCAGCCACAAGGGAAGCCCTTATATTGAATATAAGTCTGCTTTACTTATTTATACTGACTGCCTGGCCCCTAAATCTTTGCACTTATAATCCTGTTCAGAACTTCTCCCTCCTGAGAATGAAATTGGGTGAGCAGACCTTAAATCCCATGAAGAGTTTAAACACAGGCTTCCAGGGGCCAGCTTCTGATATCTATGCTGGACCACCAGCCCCTTATAACTCTAAGCCATCAAAATTAGTTCTCTGAGGTGACAGTACTTTAGACTCTTATCTGTCTTAAAACAACAACCTGGTTTTGTATATGCAATTCATTTCATGGAATTGAGTAAAAGAATGAAAAAAAAAAAATTCAGTATTAGACAAAAACCTGACCAGAACTATTTGGAGAACTTTAGTCTAGAATGTTACTACCTGTCAGCACTACTATTATTTTTTCATCTCAAGGAAAAACCTCACCAAATATACCTACATAAGCTACTTTCATTTATTATTTTTTTCTGAAGATATGACAGTATCTGTACAGTTTTAGAAATGATTATTATCCTTTCTAACAACCTAGGTTGCATAATTTAAACCAATATCTCTCTGACAGATTTTGAACAATGTAAAAAGACAAAGCCCACATGGAAGTAGATAATTGTAAAAAAAATTTAAGCTGTCATATATGAACTTAGTTGATCATTATTCTCTTAATAACCTTCAAACAAAAATATTTTATTCTAATTCGTAAAGATCATTACCTTTGAGGGTTAAATATCTTTCATATGCTCTTAAATATTTTTCTTTTTCAACAGTTCAAACATTACATGTTCAACAAACTCAACAACACTTCAGCTAATGTAGAAAAAATATACTATTTCAAAACCACAGAATTCTTCATTTCCTTTACACATCCCTATAGTGAAAGGAAAAAATCCTTTTATTCCTACAGTTGTGGACTTTTCAAAATTAGTTCTCTATCTAGTCAATAATATCTTTAAAATTTCACCAAATCACCCCTTCAGTGGTGATTCATTAGATCCACATAAGAAGATAGAGTATTATCAATGTACTTAGTAAGCTTATAAGTTAAAACTTCAACAGTGAAAAACTAGAATAGTCTCTCAGGGTGACAAAGAAATAAATGTGATTTTGAGCCTTCATTTGTTGCAAAAACACAAAATGAAATACCTCCCAGATTTCTATGGGAAACCTTTAGGAGAACGTCTGGAAATTCTCCTCACAGAATTAGTTTCCACAAGGCTGAGGGGTCACCTCTTCTAAAGCCCTGTCAACAGTCATTCAGGTGGGTTGTCTACACTTGTTTTTAACTGGCTGATAGAGATTTATACAATGTTGACAGTGTTCTGAGAAGACTGACGTCCACAGAACTCAAAGCTTTCACTCAACTCTATAGAATACTGGATTAAGTTGAACAACTGGGGGCAAGGCTTAGTAATCTCATCCCTCAGAGGAGGACACATGGTTTCTTTGGTAATTCACCTACTTAGATGGTTTAGATCAAGGAAGCGTTTAATCACTTGGTGCTGAGGTATATCTAAATTTAACTGCTCTTTAAAAATACATTAAACCCATTCTTTGGAATAACCATTGTTGAATTACAAATGTTCAAAATATGCTCTAGTCATGCATCTGGTAAATCTGATTATATCTACTTAGATATCTATGACATCCCATAGATATCAAGTGTACAATCAAGACTTTTTTAGCTTGTATTCATTTCAATCTAACTTAGGTCAAAGGTATTATGTTGTTTCATACTTGTAATATTTTAAAAATACATCTTCAAACTCAACTGGGGAAAATGTTCAAATCGCCAGGTAGCCATGACCCAAGTGCCAAGGAAGACACAATTACTTATCTCGCCCAAATGTTTCCATTTCCAAGAAAACTCTGAGCCACCACTGAGAAACCAAGTTCATAGAAACAAAGATACAGGACAACAAATTAAATCAGTTCTAAAATACTAAGTCTCTAACCTACTCGCCTTTCTGTCTGTGGGCCAATCTATTTTGATTCTCCATGTTTAGCTATTTAGGACCTAAGGATAACATCACTTTTGTGGTCCTCCGGAAGGGCTAGGCTAGACTGACTGACTGTGAGTCAAGGACTCTCAAGGAGGGAGGTGAGTTGGTGTTTGAAGTGAGTATAGGCCTTCCACTCTGTGGGAATTTGTCACTACACTACACATGTACTAAACCATCCGAAATCTCATTGGGAAAAAAAAAAATCCTTATTTTTTTTAAGTCCCAAACCGAGCTTTTACTTTCTGGATCTGATGTGTTAACGTCAGAGTCGTTATCTTTTGAAGCTAGTTTATTTTAAAGGCATCTAAGTGAAGAATGAGTTTCTGAACCATCACAGTTATATATTCCTGAATGCTCCTGTTCATTGCTCTTCAATGATTGCAGATAAAGATGAGCTTTCATGATTAGCCTGAAATTCTATTTTGGATGCCCTCAGCTTCACAGCAATAAAGTACATATAGAGAAGCTTTATTATTTTATAAAGATGCATATTTGTTGAGGGTTTTGGTGTGAATTTAGAGCACTTGTTAGTCCATGGAGTAATGGTTGGAATCTGGGACATAAGACTGGGGCTAAATTTCTTTACCCTCCTAACCCCAGAGAATCTTTGGGAAAATAGAAACAAAAGAGCACCGAAGTACTTAAGGTAAGACACTACTGTATTCATAATATAGAGAAATAACCACCATGCCTCATGGACAGGAGATGTAGTTCTCCACGGGGCTACAAAACTCTGCTAGTAATAATTTTAATTGGATGCTATCTTTGCTGCCTTCAAAAAGTATCATAAAGTGGAGTTATTACAGGCTACAAGTGCACTTACAGTGCCGGCCTCTCACCGGAGGAAACAGATAACATTTATCCTTCGGAGGCAACATCAATGGGTTTCTATTTGTTTCGTTTACATGCATCCCCAGTTGCCTGCTATCTGCTCCCTCTTCCCTCCGTCTGAGAGATCAATTTGAATTAGACGCTGCTCAAGTGGATGCTAAGTCTGGCGGGCCCTCTGCCTGCAGGGAGGGCGCGCCACCCGGCGGCCGGGTCCCCTGTGCGTGGCCGGGGCGGGGGGCGAGGTGGGGGGCGTACCTGCAGAGGATTGGGTGGCGTGAGCGGCGACGGGAGGCCGTGTCCCGGAGACTGGCTGGCTTTCTGAGGGGGGCTGGCGCTCTGCTGAGTCGGAGACGGTTGGTTCTGGCTCTGGGGGTGAGGGTGGGCTGGAGGCTGCGGGGGCTGCGCGGGCGGAGCCGGCAGTGGCTGGGAGGCGGGCGGCGGCTGCTGGGACTGCGGGGCGGGTTGGGGCGGCTGCTGCTGGGGCTGCGGGGGCGCCTGCGGGGCGGGCTGCGGGTGCTGGCTGCCCGGCGGGGCCGGGGGCGGTGGCGGCTGCTGCTGCTGGAGTTGCTGAAGCTGCTGGAGCTGCTGGAGCTGGGAGTTCAGGGATGAGGTAGCTGCGAGGAGAGAGAGCGAACGTAGAGTTGAAACGCACACGTGGAGTTGAAACAAACACGTGAACCTGAAACATACACGTAGAGTTGAAAATACACCACCGCACCGCTGGCCGTGGATTTGACAGCCGGTCCCCTGCGAGCTGAGAAGGCTCTCCTTTTGAAAATGTTAACCCTCATGCCAGGCAACTCCTTGATGTCTTAGAGGGCTGTGGGGCACTGGGAGGAGAGTCAGTTCTTGGGGAAATTTTAAAATTTAGGGAGGACCAGAGTGTAACACACCAGGCATTACATTCTAAGGGATAGAGCAGGTGCAAAACCAAGGGGATGGACTAGGAACAGAGGCAATTTTTAAGTAATTTCTCCCTCGCTTCCTTTCCATCCTGCTTGGGAAATACAGTTAGACTTTCAAGGTCTGATTTAGATTTTTAAAGGTCATCTCATTTAAATCTTATTGGCAAATGCTCGAATGGAGGTAAGCACAGAAGGCTAAAGTGTGTGCAATATCCTTTTCATCATCAGTGCCACTCATGGTGTAATTTCCACTTGCATCCGACCTCTGCCAACTTGCTTAGATATGTGAGTTTTGTTTCTACAATTTTTTTTTTTAAGATAGTACATGCATCTCAGTTTTGCAGAATCAAAAGTCTCAGTCTGAACTTTTTGCCTGCTCGTTAGAAAGACATGCATGTGTGTTTAGTCACTTCGTCATGTCTGACTTTTTGCAGCCCCATGGACTGTGGCCTGCCAGGCCTTTCTGTCCATGGGATTTCCCAGGCAAGAATCCTAGAGTGGGTTGCCATTTCCTTCTCCAGGGGATCTTCCTGACCCAGGGATTGAAGTCGGGTCTACTGTGTCTCCTGCATTGGCAGGCAGATTCTTTACCATTGAGCCACTTTGGGAGCCCCACGGAGCCCCCCAGACCAGAAGGGGTATAGTCAGCTGTGAACTGTGGTGACTAGTCACATTGGGACCTCAAGAACAGGACAGGAACTAAGAGAAAGAAATCATCTTTCCAGATTTTCTTATTCTGTGAAAAGAAAGAGTTGGTAGGATAAACTGTCTTAACATTGAGCTCACTAACTTTGTTTTCATATGACCATCTAGCCCTGAACAATTTCTCCAGCAGGAAATCAGTTTGGCTGAAGAATGGTCTAGAGAAAATTATTGCACAAATTCACTTTCTTCTTTGCCTGAATATCAGTTTAAAAGCTTTCCCATAGCCTACAAATAAATGTAAGGAAACCATAGGCCTTGGCTTCTATGCTATTCCATTCCTCCCCCACTTAGAATTCATCAAGATTCCCAAAGGTAGTAACTACTGTTTGTGACATTATACTAGTCCCAATTTTTAAAAAAATGCTTCTTAAAAAATATATAGTGGCTCTATAAAGTGACATCATATACCCACCTTCATATGAAAATGATGGTCTTGAAAAATATACGTACATGGAACCCTATGTTGAGCACATCTGAAGAAATTTCTCTGTAAAGAAGTCAACCAGTGACTATTTTTGTAAAGTTAAGAATCATTTTGTAAAATGTAAACACCAACTAGGTACCAGTGCTGTTCTGATAATAGGTAGGATTTAACAAGGGGACATAGTCCTGCCTTTAAGCAGTTTATAGTGGATTTGTGGAGGTAAGAGGAACTTACAGGGTTGGGGTGCCTGTTATAATCCTGCTAATGGTAAGTGCTTGATATAAATCAATTGGTTTTCTAAATGGTCAACAGTGTGAAAATTGACCAAAAGGGCCAGGAGAATGAGAGTGGTTCCTTTGTGGGCTAGAGAGGCTAAGGCAGTGTTCATGGGGGATGTGGAATGAGGGCAGAGAGGGCTCAAGAGAGTGAGTTCTGCACCTGGAAGGGAGGATATTCCAGGCAGGAGGACACCCAGATGACGGCATGACTTAGGTGATGTTTCTGAAGGACAATGTGGAGACTGAACTGCCTGGAACAGAAGCTTTGATGATTTTAGACCTTAGAGTGGTGGAAGCCTGACTTTGAAAGTGGTGGAAACATGGATCATTCCCAATTCACCTCTGGTATAAGTCAGATTTTAAATATAATCAGGTTTGTTTAAAGCAAGGCATAGCTATGCTGATGAAATGATAGTTTGCTGTTTCTCAGGGGCACCAAATACCATTTTTTTTTTCCTCTCAGGTACATGGAGAGCTTCCATGTTGGACTGGTGGGGATGAAAAATGTCCCCCTGGGTCAGTGAGTTACTCTAGGTCTGTTCAAACACTCAGACCAGTGTGTGTCCTGCCTGTGATGTAAATGCAGAGTACTCTGGACTCTACCGGTAGAGATAACATGTGAGAGAGAGGGCTGGAAAATACCCAGTCAAGGGGAACTCTGAATTTTCTGCTCAATTTTGCCCTGAATCTAAAACTGCTCTAAAAACTAAAGTCCATATTAAAAAAAAATACCCATTTATAAGAACTTTAAAATAATGATCTGATTTTGCCATTTCCCCCTCTCCTTGCTCCTATTGTACAAAGCCACGTTTTATTGAAGACCAGGGAGCCCAGCTCAGTTATGACCCCTGGGATCTTCTGTAATCCGGAAGGGGCTAGATCTCTCCTTTTGTGGAGTTAGAGACGTTGGAAACCTGATTGAATCTGGCCTCTTGCCAGATTCAAATCAAGCCTGTCCTGATTTCTTTCAGGGTAGGGGGCATATATGTCGGTGCTTATTTTCATGGTTGACTTAAATACCATACTGTTTCATTTTGGTTAGAAAATCATTTATCTAAATCAGTGTTTGAAAACAGGAAAGACTGGGAAATATTGGCAGATAGATATTGGCAGACAGGTAGGTGCAGCAGACCCTAACTTACTAATGAGACGTGGGTCCCAAATGTGTCTTTGCTTCTTGATCTTGGTGAGTTAACATTGCTCGGCTATTTCTTTCCTGGAACCTGCATCCCCCCCTGGAAAGGCATTAACCTAAACTAAACCTCTTTGAGTTACATCAACTAATTTGGCATCTGCAAGCCAGGAATGATGGACAGTAAACTATGTTCAGGTATGTACTGGATGCAAAGGAAAGCACAAGGGGGCTGTCCAAGAATGTAATTCTGGTCTCAAAAATGCCAAAGGCATATACACAATGATATGAAAAAAAAAAAGCAAAGAAATACTAAAATATGGAGCCTCTAAATGGCTCATTGTGTAAAGCACACAGGTACAGACATAAGTTAGGAAAATAAAGAGAATTTTGCAGATAAAATGATGATTGTTGGGTGATTCTATACTTTGGTTCTATGCATAGCAATTTAAAGATTTTACTTTCTTCCCTGATATTTATGTCCTTTAATGATTATTTCCTCTATGTCTGGTTACTATATACACCATGGGCCAAAGTTAAATGTAAAATTTAACTACAGTAACAGTAGACATGGAAGAACTTAAAGAGATGCATAATAATTTATATTAGGGCATTTTAAATTTTAAAAACTTACAATTTGAAAACAAAACACAAAACAAAATTCCATCAAGAAACCCCCTGGTGGTCCAGTGGTTAGAACTCTGCCCTCTCACTGCCAAGGGTGTGGGTTCAATCCCTGGTTGAGGAACTAAGATCCTGAAAGCCTGGTGGTGCAGATAAAAAAAAAAAATCTATCAAATTTTGACTTTTCTAGAGAGAAGAAAGCAGTAAGACAAGGCCAGTGGGCCAGAACTTCCCAAATAAATAATTTAATAAGACAAAGAAGTCTAGAAGCTTGCATCTCTCCATTTGTTCAGTTTCTATGTATCAACTGTAAATTAGAAAAAAAATGTCTTCTTTAGGATCTTTGATAAAGATGTTCTCAGGAAACCACGTACATAAAAAAGCTACACCACAGAGGCAACAGAACTATCCTGGATGGGCTTTACTTACAATTACTTCTGAGGCAGGGAAATGGAAAGGAAATTCTGCCAATGAGTATGTCCATGAGTGATTCAGGAGAAATACAAATGCCTCTTGTACTTTGCAGGGTACTCAAACACCTTGGGATTCAATGAAAGTGGAATGGGATTCAAACGCTAAAGGTTGTGTGATTCTTAGCAACACGCTCACCTTTGTTAACAAAAAGTGCAACTCAGACTATTATAATCATTCTAGTTGGGGAATCAGTGTGAGCATTTTCTGAGACTATCAAGTTAAGGGATCTTTGGGCATTGTTGGCAAACTGGAGGCTTGGGTTTGAGAATCTGCTGGGAAGGATTACAAGCTCCCAGCCTGGCTGGGACCTGAGTCACCTCACAGCAATATGTTTTCAGAGGTGAGAGGACCAGTGCTAAGGAGGAAGGCAGCAGGAAGGATTTATCTCCTGCAAGAGACCAGGAATCCTGCAAAAGCATGATAGTAATTGCTGTTCGAAAAAGCAAGAGAGTTCCAGAAAAACATCTATTTCTGCTTTATTGACTATGCCAAAGCCTTTGACTGTGTGGATCACACTGAACTGTGGAAATACTGAAAGAGATGGGAATACCAGACCACCTGACCTGCCTCTTGAGAAACTTCTATAAAGGTCAGGAAGAAACAGTTAGAACTGGACATGGAACATCAGACTGGTTCCAAATAGGAAAAGGAGCACATCAAGGCTGTATATTGTCACCCTGCTTATTTAACTTATATGCAGAGCACATCATGGGAAACGTTGGGCTGGAAGAAGCATAAGCTGGAAACAAGATTGCTGGGAAAAATATCAATAACCTCAGATACACAGATGACACCACCCTTATGGCAGAAAGGGAGGAAGAACTAAAGAGCCTCTTGATGAAAGTGACAGAGGAGAGTGAAAAAATTGGCTTAAAGGTCAACATTCAGAAAACTAAGTTCATGGCATCTGGTCCCATCACTTCATGGCAAATAGATGGGGAAACAGTGGAAACAGTGGCTGGCTTTATTTTCTTGGGCTCCAAAATCACTGCAGGTAGTGATTGCAGTCATGAAATTAAAAGATGCTTACTCCTTGGAAGGAAAGTTATGACCAACCTAGACAGCACATTAA